ATATAGATTATAGTCTACAGATATATGGACTATAGTCTACAGATATATAGATTATAGTCTACAGATATATAGATTATAGTCTACAGATATATAGATTATAGTCTACAGATATATAGACTATAAGGATAAATAAATGTGAGACTTCGTCATTGATCACCAAAGAAGCTGCTGGACTGCATCAGGCCGTCGCTGATTTATCATCCTGCCGTCTTTCCCTGTGCACGAACCCGTTCACACCTCTCGTTAGTCCTGTGCCACAAATCCTCGAGTTGACATTATCTTGGAGGAGAGGACAGTAGCATCGTGCTCCTGCCCTGCAGCATTGTTAGAGGAATGGTTGGTAACAGCAGGGATAACACGAGCCCTGATATCTGCCATTAATAAAACATCTGAATACGTTTTCACTCATCGCTTTCAATGCTTCACGAGGAGCAGCATTAGGAGGATCTAGAACAACTGATCTCAAACAACTGCAGTTCAAAGCTGGAGTAAACACCAGCTGTTAGCTGCTGATGGTGGAGATCGTGGCTAAGCTCCACCCGGACTGGCTGTCCGAGCTGAGGTAGTGACAGTCTGGAGGGACAAGGTCAGGAAACGGGCGTAACTTCTGTCACCAGAAGAAACTCCAGACACTGAGAGGTGAAGAAGCCAATGAGAATGAAGGTCTCCTTTGCTATCTGGCATGAACCAGAGCCCACCCAGCTCCAACTATCTGCGTGGGGACGTCGAAACCTGTGCTGGGGAAAGCTCTGGGCACTGCAACCAGTTATAATGATTAACTGCACTCAGAATAAAAGCAGTAGAAAAGTTACCGATTGACATGATTTGAGAGCTGTTTGTGCAGACTGAGTGGAACGAAGCAGGTGGAGAAACAGCTGCTGCCTCAGACGCATGAAGCTGGGTAACAGCTCGGGTGTGCGTGTGTTTCGGTGTCACAAGCTGTTCTGCCATTTCCTAGGTTAGGGTTGGGCTTCTGAAGTGACCAGTTTACCTCGACCCGTGTCATCGAGCAGCTCACAGGATCGGCCCGGCTGATCCGTCTACTCGGCCTTGGACCGTTATCATAAAGTTTTCAAACAGACGGAGCTCAGGGCGGCCAGCAGAATGAAAGAGGAGAGACACCGGGGGGTCAGCTTCTTCACGGTCAGCTGACAGCTCGTTTTTTTTATTAATCCTTTATTTATCCAGGTAAAAAATCGCATTGAGATTAAAAATCTCATTTCCAAGAGAGACCTGGCATCATGGCAACAAAAAGCTCATCAGATGTAGGTGAATTTAATATCTCAGGCGGTATAGCCGCAAGCAAGCCGTGTTTTTAAATGGATCTTGTTAACATTCACAGCCCATAATGAGTATCCAGGCATATATGGAGGTTTGTATAAGAATGAGCTGTGTGTGTGTACATGTACATGGCTGTATTAGGTTCTTGAGCTTTACTAGGGTTGGTCATGTTCCTTCCACTGGTTCGTGAGCCGACAGGATGCGTGTAGAGCTGCACGCCATCGTCATTAATTCAGGTCAGATGTTCACAGAGGTTAGCATGTGCCCTGTGCTGGGGGGGATGTTTCTCAGAGTCTGCATTTCTGTTTCTTTGTTAAACACGTTTTATGCACAGAGGACAACAGATGGGAACCCGGCACCGTTACACTACAGGTCTGGGCAAACTAAGTGCTTAATTGCTAAATGGCGGATGGGTCAGACATAAACCATCGGCAGGATATCGTACTCCTGCAGGAAACTGATTGGAAAGATACATTTCATATAAGGTGGACTGAGAAAGTAACTCCAGGGTTCAGCCTGCATTTTCTGTGCGACCAACTTTGTTCTCATCGAGGTAACTTCAGAGCAGTTTGGATTCTTTGCTCACCAAATCTGAATTTTTTTCTTTCTTTTTCAAACTTTAGATTTTTCATTTCTTTTGACGTTTTTTTTCCTGGAGCCCTTTCAAGTTACAATATTCCTAATGTTGAGGTTCAGTCTCACCTTTTTCTGCTGCAGAGAGAAGCCGAGTCCATCTGTCCAACATACAAACTCCACAGCTAACCAACCTGACTATCCAACTGTGTAACCAGCTAACTAACCCTAACGACTGACCCCAGAGCAGCAGCAGTCCAACGTCTCTCCTCTTTGTCTCTGTTTGTTTCTTCAGCTTCTCTGAAGGAAAGAAATTCAAACAGCTTAGAATTTTAACCTTGTCAGCTTCCAGCAAGCATACCCACCTGCTTCCTGTCTGCTCTTTCAGAATGAAAGCTCCTGCTCAACCTGCTGTACTGGAAACATCTGTCTCCTCCTTTTCAAACATGTAAAAGAGCACGAGTCTGTCCAATCAGAGCAGCTCAGTGAGTTTATAATGTGCAGCAGTGGCTTCAGAGCCTGAGTCACAGGCACAGAATTTTACTTTGGAGGGCCCTGCCTGATTTCCTGTGTGGTTGAGATGAAATTCACATTACTGCCTGCTGCACACACACACACGTTAGTCATTAACGGGGGGGTCAACATGTGGAAGCAGCTCCTCCAATCAAAGCGCAGCATGTGATTAACACGGTAACCACAAGTATGTCAGAGGGAGGAAACTAACCACATGACCTGAAATCTGTGGACACGCCAATCGGTTCAATGAGTTCCCAGTGCTGAACTTTCTAAGAAGAATGTGGAGGTCAGAGGTCAGCACACAGATGGCTGCAGGAGGAGGAAACAAACACGTCTGCGGTTCATTTCAAACATAACGAGGAGCTCGGTGTCCACCAGAGGATCACCCCACATCTCAGCCACACACGGCGCCTTTGGACACTCAGTTTGTCCCGGCTGTCACAGTGTAGGGTCTGGATGATGTCACAGAGAGCGGGTCCCCTGATGCAACATTCAGTTTGGTACAGTGGGCAGACACGCTAACGTGTTCGCACATTTAACCAAAGAAGCCACCTTAAGACATGTTCTGCCAGTCTCAGCCCTTATATGGTCGTCTCAGGCACAGAAGCTCCGCCCCTCAGCTGACTGTCTTCAGGCTCTGGCTGGGATCATTGTCCTGTGTTAGAACGAGCATGGCTCTGCCTGGCTCACCTTCTCTGTGTACGTTCTTCCTTTAGCATCATTCAGTCTCTGTCCTGTGCTGATCACGTTCAGTGGGACGACTGGATAAGCGCTCCACTCTGTGTCTGTTTAACCCGGAGTGACTGTCCAGCACTACGTCCCAGTAAGACCGAGGCCGTGCTTACCTGTGAACTAGCATCAGTCAGAGTTCATGTCGTCTGGTTCACATATTACATCTGCAGCAGGGGTCGGTGTCACAGAAAGAAGCATTATTTTGAACTGTGACTCATGCTAAGCTGCTCTCAGAGTCCAACAGTAAGAATGGAAATAAGGGAGCTGTGTGTCATGTGTTGGTTCAGACTGAGCGTGCTCAGAGCGTGAGCTGCAATCACACTTCAGTCCTGAGGTGGCACTGTGACCGCCTCCAGCCGGTAAAGCCGATCAGATCAGCGCTCTCTCTCTCTGAGCCAGGGTCTCTCGCTCCTCCCGGCAGCAGATGGTCTCTCTCTCTTGCCCTCGCCCGTCCTCTTGCTCGCCCACTGGCAGATGGTCTCTCTCTCTCTCTCTCTGAGGATGACAGAACGTGCCAGGCGTCGTCGAGCAGAGAGGCAATAAAGTTTACAGTGATTTGAATTTAGAATTTTTGAATGTTGGCGGCCGACAGGTGAGTTATTGATTACTGATGTCAGCGTGCGATCACATGGTCAGCAGGTCATGGGTTAAACACTCAGACTGTGGATTCACATTAGAGCATTTATATTTATGAAACGTTTGAGCTTCTGTTTGTGTGTTAGCTGTTATGTTTCTTTGTGTTCTGGTTGTTTCATGTTTTGCTGTAAGAACACATGATTTTACCAACTTTGGGGATGAATGATGTTAATTGGATTTTATTGTCCTGTTTTCTGTTTGAACAAATAGCATCATCTGGTTTTTGACTTTCAGGCTTCAGAGCTCAGTCGTGAGGCTGTGCTGTCACAGTGACATGTTCAAAGTTGGTGTTGATCTGCTGGATTAAAGCAAAGATGACCTCTGAACTTTGTTCTCTAACGTGGTGCCTTTAAAGACCAGCTCAGTGTTTGGAACGAATCTGTTTCCTCTATTAGCTCCTCACTGACAGTAAAATCTGTCAAAATGTGTGGTGCTGTGTCAACACACCAACACCAGCAGGCTTTCTTTAGTGGAAGCACCTGCACAGGTTTGAGGTTGGGCACTGGCAACACGTCAGTGGAAAACAAGGACAACCCGCCAAGTGAGCAGCTGGTTTCCTAGCACAGGTTCAGGACGTCACTGAGGAGCATCTGCTGCTAATGAACCCGTTATGGTGCCATCGTAAACACCCTAAAAGGGTCAGGAGGTCTGACACGTCACTACAGAGGTCAAGTGTTAGGGGTCTGTCACTGCTGAGGTTATATCCGGTAATGGGCAGGTGTCTCAGAAAAGGTTTGAGGTTTAGAGTTCAGTGAAGTCACTGATGAAGTTCTGGGGACGCCAAAAAGGAGCTGGACAGGGGTCAGGAAGGGGTCACTGAGGAGGTAAGCGGAGGAATAACCTCAGACTGTGTTTGTGTTCTAGGATGATGCTGAATGATCGGTGGACCATCATGAACAACAGCAGCTCAGAGCTCGACAGCAAGCGGCCAAACAAGCACAAGGTATCTCCACGTTAGCCGTTAGCACCTAGCTGCGTTGGCTCAGACAGCAGAGAGCCGCGCAGAGTTAAGTCGTGTTAATCTGGAGTTAAACTGTCAGATCAGCGCAGGAGTAATCTTCAGCATATGTCGGCTTTACTGCAGATTACACCCTGCAGGAGCATGCAGGATTTACTCTGAGGCGATCTTCACGCCACTTCTAACTAGAGATGGCACGATACCACTTTTTTATGTCGGATACCGATATCATAAATTTGGATATCTGCCGATACCGATATGAATCCGATATAGTGTTTTTTAATCAATAAAACAGTTTTTTTAATATCTTGCTGCATTTTGTATAAGTTCATACTAAAGTTTAAATAAACAACAACACTAAAGCTATTCTGTTAAACCTGTATGCAAAAAATACAACAAAATATGTCATAGATCAGTAACACTGGTCAATCTAATAAACTTAAACCTGCTCCATCCTCCCTATTCTGGTATTTTAAAGAGTAAGCAACCTAACTAATAGGGTTGCAAACTCCCAGCAAAAAAAAAGAAAAGAAAAGGGAACCACCCCCCACGCTCCACCTCATGATGCTTAATCGACGTAATCAACTTTAATTTGATGCAGTGCGAAAAAAAATGCACAGAAATCAATTCTTTTTCAAGAATAATTAAATAGATTCAACATCTTTCTTCAACAGAACTGCAGACTGCACAGATGGTATCTTCCCAAAGAAAAAGTACTCTAGCTTACTAGGGTATATTAGACTTAACAGTTACTATATACAATAATGGACTTCTATACATTTTATATCAGATTAAAACTTTGGGTATAAGATTCAGATAATTATTTATTAAAAGCCGACATTTTAAATGAGAATAAGAAAGAAAAGTATGTCTTTGTGCCCCCTTTTCCCTGTTAATGCCCTATCGGCCCCCCTGGCTACACTTTGCTAGATCCGCCCCTGCACAGTTACAGCCGTCAGCTGTAGAAAAGGATCCTGGTGTAGAAAGTAATATTAAATAGATTCTAACAACAGCTTATCAAGCTTAAACGTGCTGCTGTTGTTCAGCCGCTGGTTTCCTCTTTCTGGTGCAAAGTGGGCCAAAAACAAACAAGAGAGACGATCAGCTGATCATTGATCAGTTTCATGATTGAAGTAGCAGCAAGAAGAGGCAGTCGCTCCATATATCGTTTGTTAAGCTCAACGCTGGAATGCTTTACAAACATTCAGAGATGAACTTACACACTTGCTTTACTTCTCTCGGGGATAACTTCCTCGGAGATGAAATGCTGGTTTGGTAGCGAGGCTACAAATACACACAGCCGCTCTATCACGTGATGCATACTGCTCCGACGTGCTACGGTTATGAGCCGAGTTACGCCGTGTCGCAAGTTTTGTGAGGTGCTTTTTTGATATTTAATGGATCGGATTACAGTTTTTATTTCTCTCGGATATCCGATCCAGTAATTTAGGTCAGTATCGGACCGATACCGATGCATAATATCGGATCGGTCCATCTCTACTTCTAACCCTCACACACGCTCTGACAGGAAGCTGCACACAAAATGCACTGCCCTAACACGGAGCGTCATGACTGCTGCCGCCATGTTGGTTTTGATTTCAGGAAGTGACCACATTTGGATGAGAGAGTAATAAACTACCAGCAGAGGCGGGCAGAGTAGCCAAAACCTTGTACTCAAGTAACTGTAGCGCTACCACAACATGGTTTTACTCAAGTAAAAGTAAAAAGTAGCCGTCCAAGAAATTACTCGAGTAAGAGTGAAAAAGTATTTAGTAAAAAAGGCTACTTGAGTACTCAGTAACTGATCATAACATCTGATTTAATGTTTAACAATGAGATAATCAGACAGACACATTTTAAAGACTGAAAAGCAACAAAACAATAATAAAGCTAAGCAGAAAAAAGAAACATTAGGGCAGGTAGACATTATCTACCCCAGTATTTATATATTACTTCTGCAAATGTCACAGCAGATAGAGTAACATTAACACAACAAGTCTGACTTATAACCTGCAGGTTTGTGTCTGTTGCCTGCATTTTTGGTTAAAACGTGTTCATTACTCATCCACTGATGTTACTCACACTGAGTAGCCAGAATAAAAGTAGTGATACTTCATAATAATATTACTCAAGTAAAAGTAAAAAGTACAGTTGTCATGGTCCTGAGCCTGCCAATTCAGTGTTTTGTGTTTCCTTATGCTTTTGTTCATTCCGAGTATGTATGCTGTGGTGATTTGCCATTTGTTAGGTTTCTGTTCTTTGCCTGCCTGCTCCCACTTCTCTGTGTTCCCTCCGTCTGTCCATGGTGTCACACTGTCTGCTTGTGAATCTGTCTGTTTAGTTCTGTGTCTTGTCTGGTTCTGTGTCTGTGAGTTTCCTGTTTTATTGTGAAGGTCTCCGTCTGATGTGAGTGTGTTCAGTTTACGTTTCCCCCTGTCCCGTCAGCTCTGATTTCTCCCAGCTGTGTTGCCCTCCTGTCTCTCATCCCCTGATTACTGGTGTGTGTATTTAAGCCCTGTGTGTTCTCCTGTGTTACTCTGTGTTCCACGGTGTCCTGTTCCTTGTCTGCGGCTCTCTGCCTTGCATCCCTTTTGGTATCTTCTCAGGTTGGGTTTCTTTAGTTATTGTCCTCCCTCATTGCGTGTTTTGCCACCACTCCACTTTGTAAATAAACATCACAAGCATTATCATCCACTGCTTGCATTTTGGGTCCTTTCTCCCTCCAACACCACACGGCTCGCCTCAGCAGCCCTGACAACAGTCTAGTAAAACTACTCCAAAAAGTACTTTTTTCTTAAATGTTACTCATGTAAATGTAATTAGTTACTACCCACCTCTGCCTACCAGCTAATGCTAACTAGCCTGGTTGTCAGACTTCATCACACAAACACACAGATACCTGCTAATTAGTAAGATCCAATCACAATCCAGCAACAGGAGATTCAGTTCCCGGTGAGATGGTTCGGTTTTTAGCATCACATGACCCTGAGCTGTCGTCTTCTGGCTAATGTTGCTTATGCTAGTTTGTCTGCTAATATGGACCCTCCTTAGAGGTTGGTAAACTCTCAGTGCTGATCCAAATTACGTTATCAGGTAATGTTACAAGCTATCTATCAACAGCTATCTGTAACTTAGCGTTTGTCTGTGTGTGTTCGTAGAAGGTGTGCAGCTTCCTGTTATGGTCTGGTGGCACGTTGGTCATCATCGCAGTCATTGTTGCAGCAACAGTTGCCATCTTGTACCTGAACCACTATCCTCTACCCTTCATCAGCAGGTAACACACCTGTACATGTCTCTCTTTCCTTCCTTCTGCCTGTCTAAATATAAATCTGGGATTGTCATGGTTACAGGGGGGAAGTGTCCTCATCTGTAGTTTCAACCAATCCCAAAGAGTCTGGGCCCCTGGTGACAGTGTCACGTGTTGCAGACGGAGAGCCAATCAGCATCTTCCTGGACCCAAACTGTCCGGACTTTAGTGAGCACTTCCTCCGATGGGAGGTGCTGCAGAGCTCGCTGCTACGGGCGCTGACCAATTACAATGCAGATGATTGGCAGGACCACGGATTTGTCCAGAAGCTGGAGGAGGAGCTAAAGGTGTTATTAGGCCACACCCACAACCTGAGAGTGGAAGCTGATTTGCTGAAAAGAGGCCAAGGTGTTCTGGACCAACGATTGGACAGACTGCAGAGTGAACAGAGCCGCATCGTCAAGGTATGAATCAAAGTAATTAAAATGTAATTGAATGAATGAAATAGAAATGCACTGCTGGAAGAGAGTGAAATGCAATTTTATTTAAGTTAAATGAAAGAGAAGACCGACATCCCCTAGGCAACATTAAATAAGACACGAAACTGATACAATATCAAAATATCGAGTTTGTACACAAATGAGGCATCTGTCATGGTGATATAGATACATATGGATTACAAAAGAATACATAATCCAGTCTTTAAGTCTGACGTCATTAGCTGTTTCCAGGTCCAAACTCTGCTTCAGGTCCCAAAGTCAAACGAACACTGCAGCATCACTGAGTTAAAAACTGTCTAAATTCTTTCATCTTTAATAAAATGATCAGCGTTGCTGTTTTACCAGGTGTAACAATTAAGTTTAACATCCAGGCATCCATGAAAACAGAATTTATTACATTTAATGTTGTTAGAAGTTAGCAGGAAGTTAGCTCGCTAGCTTCCAGCTAAACATGATATAGCATGTTCTGACTGAGAGACTTCTGAAACAATTCAAAGGTACAGCTCTGATCAACCTGAAGTCCACTGTCATCTCCTTTCCTTTGGCAGCAAGGCAAAGCTAGGTTGTTGTTACTGGTCTTATATTACTAAACAGTCCCTCCCTCTTTGTGTACCTGTACAGGTGATGTCTGACAATCACTCAGGTGTGTTGAAGTTGGTGGCAGGTTTCAGTGATTCTCTGCTCAGCCTGCAGAGGGAGACAGATAGTCTGAGGAGCCTGAAGAGTGAGCTGAGCAAAGACAGCACTCTCACAGGTAACGCACACGCGCACACACACACACGCACACACACACGCGCACACACAGGTGAATCACAGGTAGATGTTCTACATTTCAGAATAATTTCCATCATTTTCCCAGCTGGCTCATTACATTTGAAATCTGCTTTTGTTTACACATTTCCTGCTCGATTGTCTCCCATTTTTGTTACAAAGTTTTGGTTTGAACATTTATGATGTTAAATTTTAGCTTCATATTACAAATAAATGTTTTTACCTTCAAAGTGAATCAGAATCTGTATCTGAACAGATACATAAAAAAATGTCTACAGACTGAAAATCTGAGCAAAAGTCCAACATTCCAGAAAAGTCCCAAATCACCAGCTCGTACCACGTCCTCATTTTTACTTTGACAGCATTTCTAGTAGATCATGGCAGATGGCGTGAGCCTGAATGGAGGCCTTGGTTTGGAGACGGCCTCAGAGGGGCCCGACGGTGGCAGATCCCCGTGCACTCACGAGAAGTGCATGAATAGTAAAAGGGAGGCAGGATGAACAGCTTGTAGTGTAACTAGGAGCCATTTCTGAATGGTATATAGTTCAGCCAACCGTCAGGCATCTCAGGAGGGGAAAGCGGTGCTCTACCTGCACTGTGTATAGTGCTGGCGGAGCGCTGCTGACGTC